GTTATTCTGCTTTTTCACCATTTTGGGTTTCCAATCTCTGGGAGACCTTGTCTGAATTTGGTCGCGGTCATACTTATGGGCCTCGTTATTTGAAGTTGTATTGCACTTTGACCCAACTACTCGATTTGTAGAAAAATAAATGATTTGTTGTAAATAGTAATCAATGCAAACCTAAAAGAGTGGTTGTGGGAAATCCAAATCCCCCCCCCCCCCCCCACATAACCTTATCAAAAAACGTCTTGCTTCATTCACAAGCCAAATGATACACATTGCTAAAAATTACGATTTGAGTGAAAATGAAGGTTTTGATTAATCTGATAACATTTGTTGAAAATTCCAACATAACCTTCATGTATGTTAACATTGAAACTTATTTATTTCTCCTAATATTATGTTATCAAATGAAGAATTATGATCAGTTATGAAGACATTTTTTTTTTAATCAAAATTTTCATTTTTAAAGCTAAAATACTTAAGATAATACTTTCAATTCATTATATTAGTAATTTATATATATATATATAGGTACAGGATATTCTTACACCAGTGTAAGAGTTAGAAGTCTTACACTCAATCTTGACCAATGATCCACTTGTATCCAATGGCTCACATTACTAAAATTAGAACCCTTAGATATAAGTGAGATCAACGGATAAGATTGAGAGTGTAACTTACACTGGTGTAAAATGATCCTAACCCATATATATATATATATATATAGGGAATGTTATATTTACAAACATTTTGTTTACAAACTCTTACAAACAACACTATGTCTGACCGATCATACTTCAATCGAGAGTGTATGACCGGTCATACTTAGTGTAATTTGTAAAAAAAGTTTGTAAACGGATCATTTCCCTATATATATATATATGGGTTAGGATCATTTGACACCGGTGTCAAATTTAAAGTTTGACACCTCAGAGCCGTTAGATCAAAAAAGATCAATGACGTCACATGCTTGCAAATTAGAGTCGTTGATCTTTTTTGATCTAATGACTCTCAGATAAAGTGTCAAATTTTAAATTTGACACTGGTGTCAAAGGATCCTAACTCTATATATATATATATATATATATATATTTAAATGTTAGACTTTGTAATTATTAGAAAATGACAAATAAAATATAAGTATTAAGTGGGAATGTTAAAAAAAGCACGTGGAACGCAAACTAATAAGGGGGGAAGAATTTGGAAGGTAATAAAGCACTATTAAATTTTCAAAAGATTAGTTTATATGTTTAAATAAAAAAAATTAGAATCTAAATTGTTCGTGAAAATGTTCTTTTTTTATTGGAAATAAGATAAAAAAGCGTGTGGAACGCAAACTAACTAACGAGCGCGAAAGGTCTTGGAAGGTACTGAAACATTAGATTGATACATTTGACCAAATTAATCCTTAGGGTATGTTTGGTACAAGAGAAAATTTTTGGTGACCGGGAATCATGATTAATGGGAATTCAGTAGAAATTGAGTTTACTTGGAATCTTACGAAAGATGTGTTTGGTTCGCCAAAATATTACTGGGAATATTGGGTAAAAATTACTTATTCCATATTTGGTTTAGAACGAAATATGACTTGGAATATGAGGTTATTTTACAAAAATAACCCCAAACAATTTTTATTTTTGTAATTGATAGATTGGGTCTAGATTTTTATGTGTATTGGAGTATTTTTGTCTCAAAATTTATTGTTGTGTTTTCCCTTTACTTGGTATTCTGATTGGTATTCCGAATTACCATATTATTTTTGGTAATCTGAATAGTGACTTTTCTTTATAAATCAAATTACCGATAATCCTTGGATATCCGGGAATCATAATTTATTCCTTCTACCAAACGTGGTAATTACATTTACCAAAGAAGGATTACTGGTAATCCTCTCCAAAAACTTGAACCAAACACCCCCTAAGGTCTTTGTTGTTTGTACACAAAAGACTAGAGTATATAAATAACGAAGAATGATAAGAAAGTATATAAATAACGAAGAACGATAACGAATATTCTAATAGAAAATCGAATTCCTCACATCATCAGACTTCACATTAATTTTAAAACTATAATTGTTACTAACTGAAGTTAAAAGAAATTAATCTAACTGAACTATAAATGATATAATTGGAAAAAAAAAAAAAATTATTTGTTTGACCACCAATTTCTTTGATCCATGATAGTATAATGTTCTCTTATTTATTTTATTATTTAATACTTGGAATAAATTTTGATACTAACCAAGAAAATGGATAATGGATAAATATAGATAACTCTATTAATAATGGATAAAAAATAGTTAAAGTAATAAACTAGTTTTTAGCATGCACCTAACATGTTAATTTTTTTTGTAGAGTTCGTAAACATAGTAATGAAACTTCAGTAATTTAGTTGTGCAAATTTCAATCTTCATTGCCTCATACTTCATATCTAATTCAAGTCAAGGTTTGAGTAAATTATTCTTTTCCTATGCTCCAAATCCAAAAGACTTTCATGTCAAAAGTTGTCATTGTTGAACTTACATGTAATAATTTAAATTTTTGTGAGGATTAATTGTTAAAAATATCACATAGTTGTGAATTAGACCAAAATAACAAATTTAGATATAATATTTTGGGACTTTGATATATTGTATACGTTAAGACATAATATGATGTTAATGCATAGATAGCACATTGATAGTAGCAAAAATAGTTTGCACAATTCAATGTATTTGTGGAATCTTGATTCTTAATTCTCCCTCATACGTCCACAGAATACAGCTAGTAAACATAAATAATTAAAAGCATTACCAGAAAAAGCTCAGATGGGGACCATGAAGGATACCACCATATTTACATTTTCCAACCTCTGCACCATAAAAATAATTTGGTGAGCCACTCTCTTAAATACTGAATACTGAATACTGAATCCTTCCTTGGGTTGGCACTAGCAAGACCATTAAGTCAACCAAATCCTTCAGCTAAAAGTTCTACAATGGAATTGGTTCCAATTCTTCTTATTTTAAGCCTCCAAAATCATTAGTTTAATAGGTTCTACTAGCTTCTCATTATCATAACTGTTGACCGAAACTAAGTCAGAATTTGGATAACTGTACGACAAGTTTTATGGCATTTGAAAAAGCCTTTGAGTCATGATAGTGTGCCTCTTCAAACCTTAACCTCAATTTATATGTTTGACATAGTACACCAGTCTCTTTCAACCAAGTTGCATGTCCATTTGGAATTTTCAACGAATGACCAAATCATATTATGAAAATACTATTGCATCCCTGATCCCTCCCTCAACTGCATAATTTACTCAATTCAAGGATAAGGGCCATGTTGGTCATTGCATCAGAATTTGGGAATGCACCGGGAATACTAACTGAAAGCACATCGAAAAAAAGAAAATTAGGATTTAATAAAAGAGTAATTCTAGTATTCTCAATTTTTAATTATTAATATAATAAAATTTAATTCTTAAAATAAAGGTAATAAGTATATTTTTTATAAACTAATTACAAATTGATTCAAAATTCAAAAATTTAAAATCCTAAAAATAAAGAAAATTCCTAACATAAATATAACAGTAATAACTTCTAAAAATAAATAAATAATTATAATTAAATAATTCAAAACACATATCAAATCTTAGATCTCGAATCATGTCAAATGTGTTTTCCTTTTCTTGTCAAACAAATCCTAATTATATCAGCTCTATTGAGATTTGAATTTGATCATAATTTGTTATATTTCAAATCATTACTTTTTTTAATAATCGGGCCATACTTATTGGGTCACAATTTTGATTCACTCCGATTTTTTTCTAAATATTCACCAATTGTAATTGCATCAAATATTTAATTGCATAATTTACTCAATTCAAGGATAAGGGTCATGTTGGTCATTGCATGAGAATTTGGGAATGCACCTGGAATGCTAACCGAAAGCACATCGAAAAAAAGAAAATTAGGATTTAATAAAAGAGTAATTCGAGTATTCTCAATTTTTAATTATTAAGATAACAAAATTTAATTCCTAAAATAAAGGTAATAAGTATCTTTTTTATAGACTAATTACAAATTGATTCAAAATTCAAAAATTTAAAATCCTAAAAATAAAGAAAATTCCTAACATAAATATAACAGTAATAACTTCTAAAAGTAAATAATTAATTATGATTAAATAATTCAAAACACATATCAAATCATAGATCTCGAATCATGTCAAATGTGTTTTTTCTTTTCTTGCCAAACAAATCATAATTATCTCTGCTCTATTGAGATTTGAATTTGATCGTAATTTGTTATATTTCAAATCATTGTTTTTTTTAATAATCGGGCCATACTTATTGGGTCACAATTTTGATTCACTCCGATTTTTTTCTAAATATTCACCAATTGTAATTGCATCAAATATTTAATTGCATAATTTACTCAATTCAAGGATAAGGGTCACGTTGGTCATTGCATGAGAATTTGGGAATGCACCTGGAATGCTAACCGAAAGCACATCGAAAAAAAGAAAATTAGGATTTAATAAAAGAGTAATTCTAGTATTCTCAATTTTTAATTATTAAGATAACAAAATTTAATTCCTAAAATAAAGGTAATAAGTATCTTTTTTATAGACTAATTACAAATTGATTCAAAATTCAAAAATTTAAAATCCTAAAAATAAAAAAAATTCCTAACATAAATATAACAGTAATAACTTCTAAAAATAATTAATTAATTATGATTAAATAATTCAAAACACATATCAAATCTTAGATCTCGAATAATGTCAAATGTGTTTTTTTTTTTCTTGCCAAACAAATCATAATTATATCTACTCTATTGAGATTTGAATTTGATCGTAATTTGCTATATTTTAAATCATTGCTTTTTTTAATAATTGGGCCATACTTATTGGGTTACAATTTTGATTCACTTCGATTTTTTTCTAAATATTCACCAATTGTAATTGCATCAAATATTTAATTGCATGCTTATTTTGAAACTGTCAGCTAGCAAAGCCAATAGCACAAGACAACTAAAGACAACAGCTGCAATGATCAACGAACAAAAAAAAGCACAATAGCATATCTGGTTTTAGAAACCTCGTTGTAATTGTAATCTTTGTTCCTCTACTTTCATGGCTTTGAAGGTGATGCTTCTTCTTACCCTTGTTCTTGTTTTGCACAGTTTTGTGATACCAACCTGCCATGGCCAGACTAGTTCTCCTCAGAATATTGAAACTTTCTATCCAATCGAATTTCCAGAACCAGTCCCCATAACACAACCTCCTACGCCACAAGCATCACCACCATCACCAGGGCTGAGACCAGTGGCAGCATCCACAACAAGCTCTTCATCAAACAGTAAGATAGTGCTGACTGTAGCTGCAACAGCAGCAAGTACTCTAGCTGTTTTTGGCTTGATTTTCTTTTTATTTCAAAGATGCTTCAGAGCAAAGAGGAGAAAGGAGATCCCCAACACTGTTGTGCCTCAGATAAACGTGTTTGAGAGAATGGAGGGAAACGTCAAGGGACTGATTGTTGATGAGGATGGTTTGGATGTGGTGTACTGGAGAAAGCTTGAATGCAAAACCTCAGACAAGGGTTTCCAAAAGGAGGTCTTGCCTAGTTCCAAAAACAAAGAAGAAGATGATCATGAAGGAAATCAAGGGAAAAGATATGGGCCCATTCAAGAAATTCCTCTGCTTAGAGGGAAATCTTCAACTTCCCATATGAGTATATTTCCAGAAGAGTCATATACAATTATGAGAATTCCACCTCCTTCTCCTCTTCATGTTTTTTCTGAATCAGTTGGAGTTGCTACCAAGGGTCTTCAGAAACCACCAGACTCTCCTACTCAAATATTTGCTCCACCCCCTCCCTTTTCATCACCCAAACCACCCTCCATCTCTTTATCATCAATTCCAAAAATGACAAGTCCTGCACCACCACCACCCCCTCCAACAATACTTGATAGAAAGAGTCAAGCACCACCACCACCACCTCCCCCTCCACCAATCCCAGATAGAAAGAGCCCAGCACCACCACCTCCGCCTCCACCAATCCCAAGTAGAAAGAGCCCAGCACCACCACCTCCTCCTCCACCAATCCCACATAGAAATACCCCTGCACCACCACCAATCCCTGCTAAAAAGAGTCCAGCACCACCTCCTCCTCCTCCATCAAAAGCAGGTGGCTTGAAGTCATCATCAAAACCACCACCTACCCCTATTGAAAAGTCAATTACCACAGGCAATGATCAAGTAAAACTGAAGCCTTTGCACTGGGACAAGGTGAATACTAATCTTGATCACTCTATGGTGTGGGACAAAATTGACCGTGGTTCTTTCAGGTAATCCTAATATACTAAATTTTCTGAACTTAACATGTAAAACTTGATCCCTCCATTTTAGTGTTCACTAATGATTTCTAAAATTTCAGGGTTGATGGTGATCTTATGGAAGCTCTTTTCGGGTACGCTGTCACCAACCGAAATAATAATACCCCAAAAGGAAATGACGCAACAAGTCCAAGCAGGGATGCCTCAGCTCCATCAACAAATGTTTTCCTTCTTGACCCCAGAAAATCACAAAACATTGCTATTGTTTTGAAATCTCTGGCAGTATCACGAAAAGAAATTATTGATGCACTCGCTGATGGTCAAGGTCTTAATACAGACGCCATTGAAAAGCTTGGCAGAATAGTCCCAACAGAAGAAGAGCAATCCCTTATACTTGAATATGAAGGACATCCAGCAAGACTTGCTGTTGCTGAATATTTCCTTTATCACATCCTCAAAGCTGTTCCTTCAGCATTTAAGCGCTTGAATGCAATGCTCTTCAGGTTGAACTATGACTCCGAGATTCTAGAAATCAAGGAGTTTCTACAGACCCTTGAGCTGGGGTGTAAGGAGCTTAGAAACCAAGGGGTATTTGTGAAGCTTCTTGAAGCAGTGCTCAAAGCTGGAAATCGTATGAATGCAGGTACTCAAAGAGGTAATGCTCAAGCTTTCAACTTGGCTTCTCTAAGAAAGCTCTCTGACGTAAAAAGCACTGATGGAAAAACCACATTGCTTCACTTTGTGGTTGAAGAAGTAGTTCGTTCTGAAGGAAAACGTGCTGTTCTTAACCGCAATCACAGTTTGAGTCGTAGTAACAGTAGGAGCAGCAGCAGCAGCAACAGCAGTGGACACTCTGAGAACTCTGATACTTCAAATGAGCAAAGACAAAGGGAATGTATAACGCTGGGGTTACCAATTGTAGGAGGGATCAGTTCTGAGTTTTCCAACGTCAAAAAAGCAGCGCTTATAGATTACAAAAGTTTTGTTGGTTCAATCTCAGCACTCGCAGCAAAAATAGTTGAAATTCGAGAACTTGTTCTCCAGTGTGGAAATGATGAAAGAGGAGGCTTTGTGAAAGAAATGAACCATTTTCTAGAAAATGCTAAGGTGGAATTGAAATTAGTGAGAGAAGAGCAGACAAGGGTAATGCAGCTTGTGAAGAGAACAACAGATTATTATCAAGGAGCTTCTTCAAAGGACAGTGCAGAACACCCTCTTCATCTATTTGTCATAGTCAAGGATTTTCTGGATATGGTTGATCAAACTTGTATTGAGATTGCACGTAACATGCAAAGGAGGAAGACAACTAGGGCAAATTTAGGGTAGTAGTCAGTAGAGACACCAGCATAAGGACTTCTGAGGTTTCAAACTGAATGTTGGCCAAACTGGTTCAACTTTTTTCTATTGGACCATTACATAAGGGAGCTGAAGCTGAAGTCCTAAAAGTCAAGAGTTCAGAATGATAGGATTGCGTTGTTTCATTGAGAGTGTGAATGAGACAGGTCCCAAATTATAGTGACTCGGAAGAGAGTAACTTAGAGGAGCGTGGACCCAACCTAGCGCAGCTGAATATTGGAGGTTATGAAATACTGTGAAAGCAGGGTATGCTTTTGCAAATTCAGAAGTTAAAACCATCCTTGTGATGTTGTCATTTTTCCACATTTCAACATCTAAATTAACATTTCACTTGTGTAGAGAACTGTTGTTCCTGAGCATTTTTTAAGTCTCACGTATATAGATGTTGGATTCTTTTTGCATCAACCAGAACGTGCTCCGTTTCTTCTCATTTTCTATTTAATTTGTAAGTTTGATAAATGGATTTTTATTTATTTATCAGATGAGACGCGATATAGCTGACTTCGCATACATAGCCCACAAAGGAAACAACTCTAATCAATTGAACTCATAGAACAGAGCTGACTGAATTGACAAAAGGAACTTATGTCATCAAAGATTTTAATTTTAAACTCACCATGACAATACATGAGATTCGCTTTTGCAAAATACACAGCAAATTTGACGTTCACATTACTATCTTAACTGCAATACTCTCAATTCTTGACACCAAACTTAATCTGCATTAGCCCACTTAACTAATCTTGGTTTTCCTGATTCTGAAAATTCTTCAATTATGTTTCCCAATGTGCAGTCTTGCATCATCGCATGTGAATGGGGGATTGATGAGTTGAATTCTATAGACCGACATGGTATATATCAACTTAGCTTCTTAGATATATATATGGTCTACAACAAGTTAGAAAATAGAAACCATATCAATCACCCCATGGAATGGATAGAGAAGAAGAACTAATGATGCAACCAATTACAAGAAATATATGCATTTTTTACATTACAGAAATTATACAATATTATTTTCTAACATATATATTGCCTAGGAGGGGTATGAGGAAGAAATTTATTATCCATAAATGATGCCTACTCCTCCCTCCTACTCCTCACAATGTTCATAAGCTCCTATATAACTAGAAGATTGCTCCCCTGTTACTAACTAAACGAGAATATCATAGCGTTGAGTTGTTTCCATAAACATTTCCCCTGAACATACAAATCTACCTGACACACTGGTGTATCCTCCTCTCGCTTTACCTTCACAACTTTTGGGGCTACCGAGGGTTCTCAGGCTTAGCATCACCCTGCATGAGTAGACACAACACAATGATGATTAAATATAGGAACTGGACATGGTTAGCAGCAATCCAAATTGATGAATAGCTTCTAAATCAAGGCTTCAATTGTGTAACAATCACCAGACTCCAGTTGTGTAACACAAGTTTTAGCTGACTTCAAGTAAAAGTTATATTTTATTATTTAAGTAATTTGCACGTGTCCCCAGAATGCAATCAGTAACATTTTTTTATCAGATTGCTTTGTAACATTAAGCATAAAGAAAAGAAATAGTCAGCCGTTACTCCAAAAAAAAAAGAAAATTAAATAAGGAAAGAATTAGTCAGCCAATAAATATTAACTGCAATTTATGTAGGGAAAGATCTGCTATACTCAGTCTTCACCCTGCTGTTGACATGGTAAAGATCAGATGAGGTGTATAACGCTTACCTTTTCAGGACGACTTTTTGATACTTTTTGACCACGGTAAAAAGCTGGTAGGGGCGTGGCCTTGAAATTATGTTTTAGTTTTTTCATCTCTGCCTCTTTTTCCTCCTGTTTTAGGAATACAGAGTTCAGACATGCCATGTATGCATATAATATAGATGAAAATAGCAATGTCCAACTTATAACCAAAGATCATCCATTCTATAAAATTAAGCATCATAGTGCCGGCTATCTTCTAAACAATTACTTCTGACACATTATAAATATATGCACACACTCTTAAGGCATGGGCAGGAATATAGGAAATGCCAGTCATTTCTAGAGAAACATTGTAGAACATGAAAGAGTACCTTCAACTTTGATTGAAGACGCATTCTCTCTACCTCTTTTGCATTAGATTTTTCCTCTATTTTTCTTGAAAACTGAATAAGAAACAAAAGGTAAAAGAGTATAATTTGATCAGTAGAAGCTAGAAAAAAGCAGTACTTTCAAAACCTAATATATCACATGCATGGAAATGTATAGGCAAACATTAAGAGCCAGTCCTACCTCTTTCCCTTTCTCTGCTCTAATGTCACTTTTTGGGCCCAGAGTAGTTGGTGCAGCATTTCCACTTCTTTTATCCATATTCTCAACCTTAGTTGACCTATTCAAATATAACTTCAAGAGGGTCATGTACAGAAAATTGAATTCCTTACACTTTCATCAAAATAGAGCTTATTAGATTTGTTTCATAGAAATTTTGTCAAGAAAAGCGGTTTGACCCATATTTTCTCTAAATTATCCACATTTTACTTCAATGCTATAAAGGTGAAAAGGCCTGTGGACTGCAACCGGGAAATCTAGAAGGTTTCTATGATTGGGGTAGAAATGGAAACCCTGTATGCAAATTAGATGCAGCTAATAATAAAAAATATATCTGGGTATAAGTTGACAGTTGATAGTTTTGGATACCTGAACAACCTTGGGTTAAAAATTGAGAAAGATAATGACAAGCAGAGGTAGGTTACATCAAATCCAAAACTAGCATGCAGTTCCAAATCAATACAGAACAACGGTGGTTTTCACAGTATTGCTTTAAGGAGTAAGTTTCAATAAAAGAAGAAATTTCAATTAAAATCGCAAGAGATATTGTTGGGCAAAATCAAGTTATTACTAAAACTACTTTGTATAACAATAACTTCCTATGCTTCCTCATTTATTCAGCATTTATCTACAGTTTCGTTGGTTGGAATTCTCCCAAAGAAAACCGCCAATAAAAACATGATGTCATCAGATGGCAGTCTTAATTGCGTAAACTAATTCACAATACTGGTGAGATGCATTAATAGTATGAAAGAGATAAACAAAAAAAAGGCTGTGCAAAACACATCAAGGAAATGAAACTTGTGCAAAAGAAAACACATTATCAGTGCTGATAAAAAATTTACCGTCCATTTTCTTTCCTCAAAGCTGTAGTTGTTGCAACCTTTGGCACTGTCCCCCTTGAAGGAACCTGCCCAAGAAATATTTAGAAAAACATTTTCAAATCAATGTGATCTTCTACAGGTAAATATTACCGTTTATATTGTAACAAAAAAAATATGACTGTGTATCAACAATAAACAACAGTTGTCCATAAAGATTTTCCAATTACCTGCTTTTTTACCAAAGATCTGTCTTCATCAGAAGTTTTTGGCTGGTTGAAATTGTTCTGGAATGTCTTAAATGCTCGTTTGACTATATCCTTATCCCCCATATTCTCCATAATGAAAGATTTCCTCATTGTAGCATGAGGAGCTGGATCAGGATTACATGGACCCAAGCTCAGGGACATATGCAAAGATTTGTTAACAACTTTTCTGCTCTCCCCACTGGAAATAATTTGCCTCCTAGATAAAGAGGGAGAATTTCCCTTTTTAGTTGAAGAGGCAGATGCAAATGTCTTGGTTGGAGTTGATGTAGGCTTTGAACTTCTTGGTGTGGAAATTTTGGATGCCTTAGATGTAGGTTGCATTGATTTCTTCTTTGTCTTAGCTGCATTGCTATCCCTATTCACGGAGGTAACCTATCCAAAATAGATGGTGAGAAATAGGAAAGAGGGTAGCCAAATAGCCATCCTTTAAGCTATAGAAATTATGATTTCACCAGTCCAATTTTCCAATGAACACAAATTTAAAGGATATATGAATTAAAGCAAACCTTAGATTCGTTTGGATGATCCAATTCGACATCTTTTGCTTCAACTTCTGAAGCCTTTCCTGTCTCCTTGTACACAACGTGTGAAATTTCCTTCACATCTTCAGCTTCAATTTTGAGACTTTCTTCTTGTTTTATGTAGACATCTTCTTCACGTTCATCTATCTGATGGGAACTATGTGATCTGCTTTCCAGTTCCGTGTTCTCTACCTCAACTGATGGACTTTGGTAATCTCTTGAAACTGCAACTTTCTCCTTAAAATTATCCACAGGGGTCTCACTGATCTCACCAACAGAACTTATTATTTCTTGCTTAACCCCTTCAATGGAACCTTGATTGTTGCTCATATCAAATTCTGCAGCAGTCCCACAAGTGCCACCACTCAGATCTATACCATTTTGATCTTCTGATCCGAAAGAATCTTTCTCCGTTTGCTTCTCTTGAGCCAGCAATTCAGCTTTTCGGGCAGCAACCCTCTTGTAATGAGCTTCAAAATAAGCTTTCTTCTGGGCTACTGATCCAGGTGTGGCACACTTCTCAACCTCTTCCAAGTACTTATTTGGAGAGAAGGAGGACCATCTCTCCCAAGACAAGGAGTCATTCTCAAATCTCCCAAACGAAACTGAAACTTGCAAAGCAGCATTGGAAGCAGCAGTCTCTCCCATCTGGTTAAATGGCAGGGAAAAAAACAAAAAAATTGTTTGCATAATTGCAAGAAACCAACACACGCAACTCACAAACAACACCAAAAAGCAGAGAATTTTAACAATCACAAAATGGGGATTCAACCTCCCAGAGACCCAGACAGATTTACAAGGAACAATAATTGTAATAATAATAAAAAGAATCAATATTTAATCTGAAACAACATTAATGACAAATGGGTTTACCTTATCTTCAAATATTATTGCATCAACAGCAAATTCACCCACAGAAGTAAGTTACCACTCAGCTACAACCCCAAAGACACACTAAGATATGCACAACATGGCCTGTAAACAAGCAATGGAGGAATAATCATTCATGGAGATCTGCCCGAAAAGACCAGGAGTGAGAAATGGTCACAATGGGACAAAAAGAGGGCTCTAATATAATTTGCAGCAAATGATGAGTAAAGGAAAGGCAGAGACACGTGCATGTGTATTGTGGAGTGAGAGAATACTCATTCTTTCTTCCAATTCAATTTCTCACTTCTCCTTTCTACAGTAACGACTTCCTTTGTCTGCTTGTGGTACTTCAGGAAACTCCTAAGAAGATGGAAAACCCAATCAACAAGGCAAAGCAATCCAATATTCCACAAAAGCAAGAAATGAAAGCAAAGTCACTCGAATGGTTCTAGATCACAACAGTGTATATTGTATTCCCTAAAAGATGATTTAACTTTTAATGGCAATGAGTACCACTGCTTTTTCCAGTGAGGGCCAAGGTTGAAGCAGTTTAGACTTTAGAGATCATAATGAGGACACAGAATTATGAAGGGATAACCCTGTCCCAGTTAAAAAGAGAACAAAAAGGTACAATTTTTAGTAAATAATTTATGTGGGTAAATGAGATTGGTTGTCCCAAACTATGGAGCTTCAACTAAAGAAAGGAGATCACAAGTCACAACCATACACCATGACAAACTTTCCTCCCATTAATGATACCAACGAATATCTCAAGACTCTTCTTCACAGAAAGAGACCCAATAACCCCAAGGCTGTGATGATTAGATTACGTTAGATTAGATCAGAATTCAGATCAGATCAACAAGGGAAGGAAGGAAAGAAGGCCCCACATGAACAAAAGCTGCACACTTGCGACGGTGTGTGTGAAAGGTTGCATGTGATGGGTCTCAAAATTTATTATATCACTCACTTGCGCCACATGTGGACCATGATTTAATTGGCCGAACTAAAATTTAGCATTATCATTTGTCATGCACTGGACATAAATTAATCTAATAAGAACAAAATAAAAAAATATGCCGTATTACCTTACCGGCTCAAACGATAGCGTTTCCTTTGTAGAGTGTCAGTCCTGGGCCCAAGCCCAATTAAATAATGAGGTTTGCAACGTTGGACTTAACTTGGAAATAGCAAGCATGATTAATCACAAGTCATTTTCAGTTGAATAGAACGTAAACATCATCCACTTTGTGTGGCCTATTCTAACTTGATCAAGTTTCCTTTTAGCTTGCCTTGTCTCTCCCTCATACTATGCTCTTAAGCTACTCAATCACCTCAACCCCACAATAATTTACATGTCAAGCTAAATTAACATCACCATCCACCACCTATTCTTTGTCTTTCTCTCTCGCTACATGTATATATATATAACTTGGCTTATGCTGTTAAAATCCATATTATAACATTTCTATCTTATTCTTGTTTGACTTGTTTCTTTCCTCCTATGATGGTTAAAATGAGAACACATTTTCACTCTCTTCCACTACTATTGTTCAGCTTTTCCCTTTTATTTGGCCAATCCAGACCCGACCCTGACCCACTTCAAGACTACTGCGTTGCTGATAACAAAAACGCTTTCTTCATCAATGGTGTGCCTTGCATCAACCCAAAACAAGTTTCGTCATCCCATTTTGTTACATCTGCTTTATCCAAGCCTGGCAACACTAGTAATAACTTCGGCTTCAGTGTCACCCCCACTAATACTGTTAACCTTCCCGGGCTTAACACCTTGGGCCTTGTATTGGTTCGGGTTGATATAGCGGGTAATGGGATTGTGCCGCCCCACTCACATCCACGGGCCTCAGAAGTTACCACTTGCCTCAAGGGCCGGTTGCTTGTGGGCTTTATTGATACATCAAACAGAGTCTTTACCCAGAACTTAAGGCCCGGTGAGTCATTTGTTTTCCCAAAGGGCCTGTTACATTTCCTGTTTAATATTGACACTAAGGAACCCGCACTAGCCTTGTCTGGTCTCAATAGCCAGAATCCAGGTGCACAAATAGCATCACTTGCATCATTTGCTAGCAAGCCTCCTATTCTTGATGAAATACTTGAGAAGGCTTTTCAAATTACCAAGCGAGAAGTGGAAACAATTCGCAGAAACCTTGGAGGATGAATTATGCTGCTTGATGAAGGTGATTCAATTATGATTACTACCAATATACTTCTTCATTTATTTATTGTCATATTTTAAAATGACAAGAAAGAGAGACATCCAAGTCATCGTGTTACATTTCATGTTTAATAATCGATAAGTAAAATCTGATGGTTGATTTGAGTCATCATGTATTGAATATTATTGTGGTTATTTCTTTGTTTATAATACTGCAATAAAACTTTAATTTTCGGTTCCCGAATCATTATTTTGTTGATCTCATTTTTGTCGTAGACATGCTGCAAATAACGCCATTGGCAGCATATTTTGTAGTCCGAATTTTTATAATTGGTCGATTTTTATCCATAGTTCAATTCCGTAAGCAAATGGGAAATTTCAAATGAAACAGACATTATAACGGTGCATCTCGTGTAGTCAACTTCGGTAAAATCGGAAAGCAAGCTATGACTTCATATTGGACACTTGCACACGAGTCCTACTATTGACCCACAGAGGATGGGGAAACAAAAGCCAAGTTTACCTTACTCTGTATATAAAACCGTTTATTATTATTTTATTATTATACGAATTACTAGTGATGCTTGCCTTGGATTCTTCATGAAATGACGCGTGTTAAGAAAATTGCAAGTCAAGATGAAATTGCAATGATTGAACCTTACGCGTAGAACTTTCCAATAAACATGAGCTGTTGGCTCTAAAGTAGTCGATGAATGAAAATTACGATACTGAGGATATGCGTTTCATTTTCCTGAAGGGAAAGGAAACTATTCTGAGTACTTATCAAGTTATTAACATTTGCAGATCGCACTGTATACTACTTTATAGCTCTTTTTCCACTTTTTTTACCTAGCCTTAAATCATGGTGAATCTATGATCAAATCTCAATCATAACTTGATAAGTAGCAGTGTGTCATCACAAGCACCCTTAAGCTATCATTTGCAGATAGCAATCTATACTCTCTCTTTTTTCCAGTAGAAATTAGAAAGGCACAAAAAAAAAAAAAAAAAAACGAGCCAACACATTCATCATTCAAATGGCTAGTAGGTAGAAAAGCAAACAAAAGATGACAGGAACTCAATGCTAATAAAACAAAGAACAACTGTCTGTTATTCTGCACTATGTTTGGCACATACAATCAATGGTCCCATACGAACAACTGAACCAAACCCACCAAAATTGTTCCAAGAGATGGAACCCCCCAGCAGATAAAGAATTGAAATTTCATATGTAAAGCACAAGAATTGAAATGGATTAAAAAAAAAAAAAAAAAAATTCTACAGAAAGAATGAACAAACGCCCCCCTTCCCCCAAACAAATCTGTACACTGCTCTACCAAAGAATCTCTGAACAACAAATGTACCACCAAAGAATCATCATAACAAATCATGAGCATATCCAACTAATATAGAAGAAGAGAAGCTCCAAGGTTGTTCCCTCGCCCTGTTCTGAAAGTGCCTTGGCTTAAACAAATCATAAGGCTCCCAAAGACGATCCAAGGGACAAGGTTGCTTAGCATCAAGCCTAACCCAAGGTTTCCCTTTCCCACTCCAATGCAACAAGCTAACAGGGCCAGGATGCAAAGACCTACAAACCCCATTCAAGTTATCCCCACCAAGACCATGTTGGTTCCACCTATGATCAATGGCCTCAACATTCCCACCAAACACAAGCAAGAAAGGAGGTAGAGAACCCAGCTCGTAAATCCTCTTCTTCTTTTGCAACTCCATCCAATTCTCAATCCTCTTCCTATAGTTCCCTTCCCTCCACCTCACCAAATCCATTATCATCACCCCAGTGTTGAAATAACAAGGCTTTCTAGAACCAAACACACGTGACAACAGAGGGTCCTGCCAAAACTCATCAGTGAAGTACTTTGTGAAGTTTGCGTGGCAATACTCCGGTGCGCCGATAACTCGTGACTCGGTGAGTTTCACGCTCCAGAGCTTGCGAACGTCATCAACAACAACAACGTCCGAGTCAAGGTATATGACTCGGTCCACGCACCGATCCAGCATGTCACCGAGGTAGTTCCTTGCGTAGTTCAACGGGTTTTCCAGTGCCGAACGAACCGAAGAGGAGATCAAGTTGATCACCGTGTCTTCCCTGAAAATGTGAACCTTGAAGTTCAGTGAAGGGAACGTCGATCGGACTAATTGGATCAGGACCCGGGGACTCGCCGGGTCGAACTCCGCCGCTATGAAATGAAAGAACACGTTTTCCGGGCACGTCGAGTGGCGGAGGACGGAGTGCACGGCGGCGATGGTGCCTCTCAGGTAACCGGAATCAAGGGTCATGGCTATGTGAACCAGAGAAGGGTCACATGACAATATCGAGTCACTGTTTCCGGATACAGGGCAACCCGCTCCGTTGCGATACTCCGGCGCCTCCGAGAACTGGAAAAGGGCGTCGCCGCCGACGGCGGCGACGGTGGTCGGAAAAGACCGAATACCAAGACAGAAGGGCAGAAAGAGACAGCACACAATGAGGGGCAAAACGACGGCGCTTAAGCGGAGGGGAAGCATTTGCGGAGGAGGGGAAGAAGAAAGAGAGGGTTTTGGTTTTTGGGTCGATGGAAAAATTGGTTCTTGATGGAAGAAAAAGAACGAGGTCTTTGAAGGGTTAGAATGGCACTGCAGGGAAAAGAAACATGAAACATCACAAAAAGGCAAAAAATATTGCCATTTTTCTTTCTTGCCTTTTTTTGTTTTTCTTTCTTTCTTTCTTTTCCTTTGTTGGTGCGTTTCAAAGAAAACACGATTTTGGGTTATCTCTGGAACCAGGAAACAAGAGAGTTCCAGAGAGGAAAGAGAGGGAGAAGCAGCTGGAATTGAAAGAGAATGAGAAATCTATGACCTACTTATATCAGATTCATTTTCATTCATTCATTCATCACTCTATCTGTCTATGTCTCTGTCTCTGACTCTGTATTTTCTTTTTCAATTTTCTTTATTCTCTCTTTCTCACTATTTTTTTTCTCTCTATCTCTTATTGCAGAAAAAAGGAAAGAGAACGTGTCTTGTTTTAACATACTAGCCGAAAACGCTGTTAAGCAAGGAATTTTCTTTTCTTTTTCTTTTACTTTATTTTATCTCTCTCTTTTTTTTGTCTTTTCCTTCGTCATCTTTTTTATTATTGTTGCATTTGTTTCTTTATAATGATTTGGAGAAATATATATATGGGTTGCTTTTTCTGCCGTCAATGTAGATAACTTATTTAAAGTGAACTCAAAATAACGTCGTTTTGGACGATAATTAAGATATTTTTGTAATTATAATTTATTTCAGGGATTATAATAATATTTTTTATTATAATTTTTTAATTTTTCATTTCAACACGATATCGTTTTGAAAGTAATATATATATATATATATATATATATATATATATATATATATATATAAATAAGACGTGTTTTTATTTCAATTGAATACGTAATTTGGCATTTATGAAGTTTGAATTCACACCTCAAAACGCTTTTACGCGGTGCTACTATTAATTAACGGAAAAAAGATCATACATGACCGTATAATTACGTAAATACGTTTTGACATTGATGTGTAATGGATGTGATGATAATATGATATGATTCGGCAACTAACGATAATTGGGAAAATATAAAGAGAGGGGGGGGTGAAGCTTTTGGTCATGTTGGGGCGAAGGGTTAGAACTTAAGAAGTTTCCATACATGAACGTACAACCAACCACACAAGACCACGAGGGACAGGTGGATGCGCAATGAGTCTTTTCTTGCCAAGTACTTTTGCTGTCGTAATCTATGTGAATTTATATTCAATTCAGCAGTTGAATTTCAAATATGTACAGAGATTTTGGTAGTATAACCCCATATGCTAAATATATTCTTCGAATTGTACCAAATAAAAAATTGGTGTACAAATTGATATTGTGTATATATAAGAAATTTTAAATGTGAAAGAAGAAATTAATAATTATAATGATTAGTTTTGATTGATATTATTAAAATTGATTTTGTTTGATTCCTAAAATTAAATTTTCTGATATATTTCTTAAAATAATTTCTGATTGAAAATAAATAAGGATTCGTCAACAATTACTTGTCATTTTTACTATTTATGTATCCAAAACTTATACGGTGTTGATTTGATAACAGAGAACTATTTTAAAGAGAGAAATGAAAAGTTCCCTTAAATTAAATAGAATTTATTGATACATATTAAAAATAATAATATCATTTATTTTTATTAATTTAAAATGTAAATATATGAAACATTTAATTTTTTACTTAATAGTTTTGATTTTCAATTATTAACCAACATTTTAAGAAATACATCAACATATATCCATCTATTAACGAGATCTAAATCAAAATAGTTTATGGTAGGTTTTTAATATTTTGACATAAATTGTAACATTATTGTGACAACTCGCCCACTTAGCCAAATTTCAGAGTTTTATGGTTCAAATTCTAAAAGTTCTTAATATGAGTGTAAATAGCAAAAGCATGTACCCATTGAAGGAGGAGCTAGGGTAATAGGAAATGGTGTTCGGTATAAACTGTAAACTGTAACACCTCCTTGTGAACATAAATTGTGTTTCACAACTTCAATGTAAAATTAAAGAAAGCCCTGTAGATCTGTTTTTATTAATTTATTTATTTTTCATTGTCATAACAAAGTCTTCACTTACACGATGTGTTTTCTTTTTTCAAATATTTGTTAGTTAAAGTTTTATATACTAATAACAGAAATAAATATGTTTTAATTTTTTAAAATATAATTATATTTAACTAAATGATCTTTTAATTTTTAAAATATGATCTTAATTTTTTCAATAAAAATAATATGAGATAAAGACAAAATTTTAAAATTATACCATTATTGTTATCAAAATTTTCTCAATTGCAGGAGATTGTGATGCCGAGAGTGAATAAAAAAAGTAGTTAAATAGAAAGTTGAGATTTTATACAAAAGAAACACAAGGTTCTCAATTTTTAATCATCAAAATAACAAAATTCAACTCCTCCAATAAGGGTCATAAACACCTTTTTACAGACTAATTACAGATTGATCCGAAATTCAAAAATCTAAAATACTAAAAAGAAGAAAATAAATTAAAATAAATATAACGGTAATTCACTTCTAAAAATAAATATATAATTACAATTGTTTACCATATATATATATAATTCAAAACACGTCTCAAATCTGTGATTTCAAATCGTGTCAAATGTGTTGCTTTTCTTTTTTTGCCAAGTAAATCATAATCATATTTTTTATTTTATTGAAACTTGAATTTAATCGTAATTTGTTATATTTCAAATCACTGTTTCTTTCAATAATTGGGTCATACTTATTGGACCACAACTCTGGTTAACTCTCAGTTTCTTGAATCAATGATTGAGTCATGTGCAATGGACAAACTGTAAATGCATCAAATTATTTTCAATAATAATTCCAAACTTCATGAAAATATAAAAAAGAAAGATTAAAGAGTGATAAGTAGAGAGCTTTCATCTTTTGACCTGTGAAGGCTGTGATAAATAAATAAAATTTAGGAAGAAAATTACTTTAGGAGCAAGGATAAATAATAAAATAATTAATCAAATTTTACTTTTCAAAAATCTTTAAAAGGTATAAAAGAGGTAGGATATTATATTATCATTTTCTTACTACCACTCTTATCATCATTTGATCAATTTTTTTAGTAAAAAGCGAGCTGAAAAGAGAGAAAAAAGTTGCTAAAAAATTTGATCTAATAATAACTAGATTGATAATGGATTCGTAATAAAAAAAGTTATAGTATGAATATTCTACTCATTATAGATTTAGAATACATGAGAAAAATTAAGAAATAAATTGTATAAATAGGCGTAATGTATTGCAAATAGACCCACCTATTATTACAATCCAAGAAAATCACCCACTCATATTATAAACAAATCTTGCTGAATTCTTATCATAATTATTTATAAATGTGTCAACTTTTTTAAGACACAGATTAAAAAAATTTAAAAAAATATTTAACAAGAAATAAAATATTGGATATACTAAATTTTTCTAAAAAATTAGAAACATTGATAAAAATTATTCTTTAAAGACATTTATTAGCAAGAATTTTTTCAATTAGTTAGTTTAAGTTCCAGACTCATTTTATAACCGGCCGGTAAAGCCTACCAAAACATTATTTAGAAATATAACTTACCTAAACATAATAGAATTTGATAATTAAAAGAAAAATAATTCAAAATCAAACACTCCCAACAACCACAGCGCACTAATGTAGAGTGAGGTATTATTCAATCTTGATGATGATGATGATGGGTAAGAGACCCTTTGTATACAGCAATTTCAGTGGCATGATTTACACCACCTACATAAAAGAATTCAGTGACGGGTCACATAATAATTTCACAAAAATGGAAATAAAATCCAAACACAAAGAGATAAATTAAATACTTATTACTAATTTTAGGGCAGCTAAGCAGCATGGAAATTGAGAGTAAATAAAAAATATATATATTCAAAAGAATAAGGATAATAATAATACATAATATTAAAAAAGGTAATATTCTTTGCGTCTAGTGATGGGAAGCCATTTGTAAAGAGTTGAAGATGCAGACATGGCTTAGCTGTCATAACCTGGCTGGCCAAATTGGTTCAGACCCACTCAATCATCCAATTGGCTACATATCCCATGTGAGATCACATGCATCCACCCATTCCATTCCACTATTACCATTTCCAAATTTCATTTCGAAACTTTCAGAAATAGATCGAATATGCTATTACTACTTTAACATTCAATTAGTTGTTTATATTATATTATATTATATTATTTACTCAAGTTTTTTTTAAAGTTATTCTCTAAGTCTTTATAATTTTATTCAATTTTGAAATGAATTAACTTAACATTAAAAAAAAAATTAAATTTCAAATCATGGATGGAAATGGAATATATATGCTAAAAAGTCTTTATAACTTTTTACTAAAATTTCTAAAGACTTTACAAATTCATTTTACTTTCTTTTTTCTCAACGATTATTTCCTTTAGTCCCTCTCCGTACGATTGCGTGTTACGTATTTCATTTCGATTATAATTTCTTAAATCATTTCAGTTGAAGACAAAGTTTGTGGAGGTTTCAAATCTTTTTTAAATCTGATTCTTCTCGCTATTTTTTTTTCTGAACGTTATAATTTAATAATTATAAATTGAATTGTTGATGTGTAACAACACCTACCTTGTTTGTGTTAGGTTATTGAATCGTGTTATAATTATCTACTATTCTTGTTTGCTGGCGAGTTTTTTTTTTTAGATTTCTTAATCTGTTAGACTTTGAAGCTTTCTTTGACAATAAATAAATAAATAAAATTACATCTCTCAACAAGTTTAATAATAAGAATTAGAATATAAATAAAGAGAGAGTAATTTAGACGTTGTTCACATGCAAGAATACTAATTTTTTTAGTTTGGTGAAGCAATGACACGAAACATCAACAATGATGGATGTCTAATGTCTCTACCATGGGTAAATTTACGCAAATTATTTTTTACATATAGAACATAGAAATTTAGTTGTTTCCAATTAATTAATTTATGGATAACTGTCAACGAGGTTTGTACATGTTTTGGGTCGGCAATACTGGTCTAATGGTTCGAACATTAAGACTTGTATAATATGTTATTTTTGGACATTCTTTGAGTGAGATTTCTAGACTCTTGATGTAAGGGATCTCACTCTTATGTACAAGCATAATTTACACATCACCATTCAGGTGGTTTGTTTGTCTTACGCACAATGGGGCCTATTAGACAAAATGGTTATTGCTTATTGTCTCACTTATCAATGGAAATTTTTCGTCGTATGAATATTTTTCTTCAGTCATTGAAAAAACACTTTCTGCGCACTAATTAAAAAGTTATTACTCTATTGAAATACATCCTCGGAGCCACTCATAGTATCTCTGCTCTCATCCTTCATCTCATACTATTTTCACATTAACTCTCCATTAAATTTCGGTCTATATATTTGCCTAATAGATTATCATTATTATTGTATTGAAATACCACATGTCCACA